TATCTGGTGGAACTGCCAAGGCAATTATCCACAAAGACTATCTGAAAAAGGGTAAAACCCTCAAAAGTAAGGTGTACAGCGAGATGCTAGTCTGTGTTGACACTGTTATCAAGGAAAAACATTGAACTGAGTTCCAGCGCAAAAAGGTAATGTTCCATCAAAATAATGCAAGACCGCATGTCTCTGCATTCTCTTTCTGGACTCTGTACAAACTCGAATTGGATCTTTTGCTGTACCCACGATATAGCCGGAACATCCCTCCTTTAGGTGCTATCTTCCATTCTGCACAGGACATCCAAAATGAGGTTGATCTGCCTTTGGACTCGCAGCCACCAAGTTTCTGGGCCAAAGGCTTTGAAAAACTATCAAAATGTGGCAGAAAATCATAGATTTGGGTTATGGTTTTTTTGGCGGAAAACTTTTGTTACAACTACAACCAGGTATTTTATGTAAATTTTATTTCAAGTCAGTGCATAAGTAATATAACTGTAATATTAAAAAGCTTATTAGTAGCCATGTAACTGAAGTGGCAAAATAATCATACTGCACTTCATGTCATACACCTGGCAGCTAACTGTATTATTGTGCCATATTTCCAGATTTCTGTGTGTTTATTGTAAATCCTTGCCATTTTCCCATAGAAATACATAAGAAGAAATTCCTCCTTGTAAACAAACAAGATGGACACTAATAGGCTTTGGCATAATAAAAAATATCCAATTCAAAATATTAAAATGGGCATAATGAGAAAGAAAAAAATGCTATGCAACTGTTGTTTTTCGGAGTAATATTCAGTATTTTAAGTGTATTAAAAAAAAAGTACTAAATTTTAATATGTGGCGTAAAAAACATGTTTTTTTTTTTTAATTTCAACACATGTTGCAAAATTTCCTAATTATGAATTAGATCTTTGATAAATTAAATAGAAGTTATGTAATTTGGCCATATTATTAAAAAATGAAAATCTTGTGACGTATGAAGTGATTGCATTATACAAACTAGCTTTTTGCATGGCTATATATGGATGATACAGATTTTCATAATGAATAGTTTATATAGTGAACCCCAACATAAAAATAGTCACCAAACTTGGCAATGAAGTGATTAGGATAGGAGTCCGGACATTGCCCAAAGGTATAAAAGCGTGTTGCATCAGTACTTCAAACATAACTCACACAATGACTCATTGAAATGGGTGTGTCAAAGCCCCTTGTCTGGAGTTTTTTTGCTCTATAATTTTAAAGTGGGCCTGTCAGCAGCAGAAACAAGTTGCCGAATTTGCCAGTTCTTTGGGGATGATGCCATTAACGAACGAACTGCTAGGCAATTGTTCCAGAAGTTCAGGTTGGGATATGTATCTTAGTGATGCACCATGCAGTGGTCGGCCACAAGCGCTGGATGATGAGGCCCTGAGAGCAGCCATAGAGAGTGACAGTAACCAAACATGTAGTGAGCGTGCTGCACACTTCCAGGTATCTTAAGAAACGATCAGACTCCATTTGCACTGTATAGGAAAGGCATACAAACTGAAAAGTGGGCACCCCACACACTTTCTGATGCAAACAAGCAACAGCATGTCACTGCCTGTTTGTCATTGCTTACTCGGTGCCACAATGCATCCATATTTGATCAAGTACTCACTAGCAATGAAAAGGGGATCCAGTATGACACACCCAGGCGTTCCAGACATTGGTTGTCACCACGGGACCCTGTGCCTCACCTGTGAGACTTTTGTCCCCCCACGCAAGATAATGCTCTGTATCTGGTGGACTAGTCGCCAAGTGGTGCACTATGAGCTCCTGCCATGGGCCAAACCATCAGGGCAGGCCTGTACTTGCAGCAGTTGGAATGTGTGCATCAAATACTGATGCATAAAGAGCCGACATTGGTCAGTCATAAGGATGTAATCCTCCTTTATGGCAATGTGAGGCTGCATGTAACTCAAGAGGCCAGGTACACCATCCGGCGACTGGGCTGGGAGACACTAATCCATCCACCATACTCCCCAGACCTCGCGCCAACAGACTACCACCTTTTCCATTCCCTGGACAACCATCTTCGTGGAAAATTCTTCAACAACTAGCCAGACCTCGAAAAAAAAACCCTGACCATCTTCTTTGCGTCCAAGACTCCCAAGTTTTATACTGTGGTTGCATCGCACAGCTAGCCACTCGTTGGCAAAAGGCACTGGATACCAATGGTTTATTTGTTTTATGGCTTTTCTTTCTGAATGTCCAACATGGCAAGAACTTTTTTGGTTACTTTGTACAACAAAAAATTTCACTCTTGGCAGAGAAATTCAGTCTTGGAGAAACAGTATATGGCATTTTTCTGAGGAAAAAAGGGATTCTAACATTACAAGAATGTGGTGCAATAAGGAGTGTGTTTACCCCTAACTGCATTACATTGGGGACAGTGATGTTCCATGCTGTCAGTTAAGTTTTCGGTCAGTGAAATGGGAAGCAATGACCAGACATGGAGTAATCCTTGTTCAAGCTCATCTAACGACCTTTGAGACCTTTGAGGAGGACTAAAAGCAGCAATCTCTCTCCCTAGGTAGTCTAAAAGATGCTGTATTGAATTCAGATCTGGGGATTGAGCTGGCCACTCCATCTGCTTCATGCCCTCAAGATATTCTTCAGCAACCCGAAATCGGTGCGGTCGCACATTGTCGTCCAATAGAAGAAAACCAGGAGCAATAGCAGGGTTATATGGGCAGAACATATTGATCAGGGATCTCGTTTCGATATCTCACACCAGCCAAAGTTCCTCCATGGAACACATGCAGGTCATTGGGACGACTGAGAGAGATCCCAACCCAAGCCATTATTCCACCACCTCTGTACCTGTCTTCCACAATGTGGGATTGGTTGTATCTAGTGCATTGTTCTCTACCGATCAACTGATGACCTGAATCACTCTTCAATGTGAACCTGGACGTCTGTGAAAAGAACAGATGCCCATTGTTGACTGGTCCAGGAGACATGTTCTCTTGCATAACATAAACAGGCACATCTGTATCCTTGGGGTCAAAGGGATGCGAACAACTGGTCGTCTCTGCATACAGACCTGCCGCTATCTGCCCACTGTAATAGCTAAGATTCTTGTTCCTGTGACCACTAAATGATCTGCCATGAGCTGAGGCACAGTAATGTTACTCCTCCTTCGGGCTGAAAGAGCTAAATAATGGTCTCCTGCATGTGTTGTAACTCTAGGTCTGCCTGGAACATGTCTCCTAGACACAGGATCCTCAGGTTCAGACTGATTCCATAGTCGTTGGACTACGAGAGACATTGAGACATCTATCAGCATGAGTTTGTGACATGCCCATTTCCATCCATCCGATAACCCGCCTCCTCAACGAATTGGGCAAACGACTTCTCCTGGATATTGTTAAAGAACTACTAATAACAGTTGAAAATCAGCACTTATGAACAAAACTTACAATTTTTGGCTTTTTTCTCCAACTTCTATATAAGTATTCCTTTCTATAAAATAAAAGGGACAGCTATTGTTTTTGCGTATATTTTCTTAAACTTCATTACTATCATGCATCTAAACTGTGAATTTAAATGTTACTGACATTTTTTGTAATGGTGAGCCTTGAACTGCGACAATGCATTTATAATAAGGCTTTGTAATGGTGAGCCTTATTGTAAACTCACACATCATGAGATTATTATGTTCTTAAAACTATGATGTTTCCAAGGATAAAAAAATATTTTCTACATAATTTTAGAGCATATTGCTGTATATAGTCTTTAGTTTATTCAACAGGGAAAAGAAAACCCCCCTCCTTTCTTTTCAGATTTTTTATTAGATGAAAAATGTTCTATTCTTCCTTTCATTGTATGTGTGAGGGAGGGACACGAGCTCATATCAACACCAACACTTCTCTTGATTATAAATTGTGCTGTGTTCATATTCAGGTGGTTATTTTGAACCAATTTTGCTATGCTCATGCATATTCCAGAATTTGCTCTTTATAGAATGAATCTGAAAAACTATTCACCTATTTATTTTTGCTGGGTGTTTAACTATTTTAAATGCAGATTTATAGACAACAGCACTAGTCCATTAATTTTGATTTTATGTTCTGTATTCTAAAATTCTATGCAACTTTTTTTTTAAACTTGATTTTATAAATATAAAAATTATGAAATTTTGAAAATGTAATTATTGATGAATCAGTATCCAGTTTTATGTGAATGAAACTACCATCTTATAAAGTGATATTACAAATTATCTACACTATACACATAATTTAATAATGGAAGTGCATGCACTAAAGCTTTGATACTAAGCTTGTGGTATATAAAGGAAGCCAGAAATAAGAAAAAAATGTATTTTTAGATAATTTTATACTGCTGGAAAAAATTAAAATTTTACACACACATGCGCACACACAAAAGAGCCAATCGATTCAGAATTTTATGAACAATAATCAGGCAATAAAAAATTATTTTGGAAAATGTGGTAGTTAAACATGCTTTTCATGAAAACTTCAAAGAATAGTAATATTGATCCTTAAAACTTTTAATAGGGCAAATTTATAAAGGAAAATGTCAACCAGAATCATGGTAACTTAACCTTATAATATTAAAATTCTGTCTAATATCTGATGATTCCCATGTATTGTATATTATATTATGCTAATGTTATGGGGGCGGGAATAGTCATGAAACTTCCAATTTTGACTTTTTTTATTGGAGTGGGGTTAATCTTCATAAGTATTCCCATTTCAAGTTTTATATTAACTGCAGTGTGTTATTGGATAGGAACTTTAATTTTGTTCCTTGCAGAAGGTGTATTGCTAAACCTTTTAATTGGATCTGCTTTCTAAAATTTTTTATTTTAAAATTTTCTTGATTATTGAATGCTTTTGTGTCATATACCTGTATTCAATTTTTTATAAGAAATAATTCATATTATGTGAAAAATGCATAAATAATACAAAACTTTTTCCCTTTAAATTTATGTAATTTTTCCTCACCTTGAAGGATTTCAGTGATAAAAGTTTATGGGAAAAACAAAAAGTTCCTGCTCTTTGTATTGGAAATGGTGTACCTAAACCAGTATTTTCTACTGAAGAAGCAGTTTTTGCACCCAGTTTAGAAAAAGTAAGCTGTTTTCATGTAATTTTATCTGTGATTATTCTATGTCCATGTCCTATTCTGTTACCAGTTGAAGTAATTAATTTTTGGTAAATATTTTATATGCATGTTTTTATTAATTGGTTATTTTCAATAGCTACAAATGAAATAGTGTTGGTAATTTGGAAATGTAATATTTTTTACTTCATTTTCATGCCATTAAAAGCAATAAGTATTATTATAATATTCTTTCGTTTATTTTCTGTATTGAAATGGCTGATTCATTTTGGTTTGTTTTGAATGAATTTATGGTGTTTAGATGTTTGTAGCTCGTATAGGCATAAGAGTGTTACCATTTTACATTTTTATTCATGTGGGAAAGCACTTCTTAATTAAATTTGTGTTAATTTAATATCATTCATAATACATGGCATGACTTATTTCTTATGTTTTGAAACACATAATTTAAAATAAAATGTAAAAATACGGTACAAAGTCTCTGATCTGGAATAGTCAGGACATATGAAGATGACATGTACAAGATGTGACACACACACACAAAACAAAAACAAAACAACAACGAAACAAAAAAGAAGAGAGAGAGAGAGAGACTGGTCCAATAAATCATTGTAATTACAGAATCAGTTCTTCGTGATATTATCACCTTCAAAGCAGTTCCCTTCAGCATTCACACACTTCTGCATTCGGTGCTGCCATTGCTGGTAACAGTTCTGGAACGAAGTTTTTGGAAGTTTCTTCCTGAACTTCTTTAGCTGAGGTATAAAGGGTTCCCTTTAAGTAAGATTTAACTTTAGGAAATAAAAAAAAAAAAAGTCGCATGGAGCCAAGCCAGGTGAATAAGGAGGATGCTTCATCACAGTAATGTTTTTGCTGGTCAAAAACTGCTTGGCAGATAGGGCCATGTGAGTAGGTGCATTGCCCTGGTGCAACAGCCATTCATCACTCACAACTGTGGCCTTTTTCTTAATTTTTTCACTTCAATCTAGTAGTGATGATTAATGGTCTGACCACTGGAGACTCATTCAATCATGATGAACGGGCTGTATGACCAGCACGTTCATCATCTTCTACACTGACCCTTCTCCCAGGAAGCTGTATGCCATTCAAACACATGTGCATGAGATCAAATTTCATCTCCATAAGCCTTGGCTAACATTTGAAATTCTTCCTCCATGTCTGATTTCTTAAGTTTCACAAGAAACTTGATGATGATTTGCTGTACGATTTTTACATTAGACATTTTCCCACCAGAATGCAGTTGAAAGTGTTCACTCAGTGATACAGTACTACCCACTGGTATGGTCGGTTAAGTTGAAACTGGCCGCATCAATAGAGGAGGTGTGTGGTATGATGTCACCAAAATAGTTGTTGCCAACTCCACACTGATTTCAAGCTACACAGTCTTTTTGTGTGTGTGTGTGTGTGTCAGTCACATCTTGTATACCTGGCAAGAGTGGGACTTCACTTAAAATTTAGCTCAAATAGAGAAATGTTAAACCCTCATAGAGCCAGTATTAGAGCAGGTGCAACTGATGTGTTTGTACCAATTGGGAAATCAGAATTAGGGGCAGCAAAAATTTTACAATTTAGAGGAGAACTAAGTAGCAGAATTTTTAAAATTTAAGATTGGCACTTTACAGCTGAATTTAGAGAGATAACAAGTGATAGATTTCAGAACCCACAGAAAAACCAGTACGTGAATGCTAAAAATAAAAATGCAGTGCATTTTGTAACTAGCAGCAAAATGTGTAGTACCATCCATGACTCCACCACAACCACTTAATGGCTGAAAGTGTGAGTCTGAGCAACATCAGTAGAATGTCAATGATATATATTGTTATCGAGTACAGTGCGATTCCTAGCCTTGCAGGTGTGTGAAAGTGACATGCAAGAATCTGAGCTATTCTGGAGAAAAAAGGGATTTGTGGCACATCTACTTCCTTTTGTTATTTAATCTCTATTTTACATAAAGAGGGTATATTTTTTTATTCATTTAGTTTTTTGTCTGGTCGTCTGGAGATCCAGATATTTTACATCTGGATTTCGGAGTTTGTACTGTAGTAAAGCATGAAAAATATAGAGATATAACTTTTTTATAATTATTTATGTGTGCTAATAACATATGATTGTTCCAGACTTTAAATAGGATAAACTTTTTTGGACCTTCATGCATACAGTCTGTAGTTTGGCCTGCAATGTCCCGATCTAGATGCTTTGCTGCTATTGCCCCTCCACATGCTGGAAAAACAGTTGCATACTTGCTTCCTTTAGTGTCTAACTTTGTTGAACAAAAAGTATACAAAGATCTTCCACCTGGAAATGGAGTAAGATTCTGTCATTATTAATTCTTTTTAACAATGATTATGTAATAAAATCTTGACTTTGCTTTAAAAGACCTTTCAGATTTGTCTCATTCCTAAACATTTATTTCTTATGTTTACTGCCATTATTATTATTTAAAAAACTGGGGACATTTGCAGTAATGAATGTTTTACATCTTTCCTTCTTTGGCATGGAGGAAAGTAAAAAGAAAACAGTCTACAAAAATTAAATCATTGTCTTTCATCAAATAATATAATTTGATTACTCACTATTCTTCAGAGTCACTTCAGAACAGAGTAAACCGTGATTCTTGCCCTAGCTCTACTAATTCTTTATTAAATTACACATAATGTGAGATCCAAAATGAAATTAGTATTAGTGATTTTTATAGTAATTGTTCATGGAACTGTTATTCAGTTTGGTCCCCATTCTCATTTACTTTAGCAACTTTGAGCAAATAGAGCCTCAAAATTTTGCCTAACAGCAAAAATAATACATCAAAAACTGGAAGCATCCCATCTAGTATCTAAGATCTTCCCTGTTCTTAAAATTTCACTGTCAAGCTGTTCTGCCTAGCATTCTAATTCCCATTCATTATTAGAGAATTGGTAATACAGCATGAACAAGGCTATAAATATATAATTTGAAGTGTACTACTTGTGATGGAAAGTGTTTATGCATTACATTTCATACTGAGTCTATTCTGTGATTTATTGCTCTTTATTTGAAACAGCTACCTAATGAGCTGAACTTTCTGAATGTTTGAAAATTTTCTTTCAGAGTGAAAGTGCCTGATCTGATTTATCCTCATTTGTAACATTAACTGATGTTGAGGTACAAGTGTGTGTGTGGGGGGGGGAGTCACAGTTCTATATCTTGCGTTCTACTGGGCCCATTGACGAAATTCAAATTGCGGTTTTCATGGCTCGAAAGTATGTCTTGAAATATTATCATTTAAAAAAATTTCAGCTTAGCAGTCAAATAAAGGTAAAATTCATGCTTGCCTTAGAAAAAAATTAAGTATTTAAATTTGGAGTAATGTGCAAAAAGGTAACTAAAAGCCTTAAATAATCTTTCACCCCCCTCCAAAAAAAATTAAAGTTATCACTAAAGTTAAGGATAAGGATGAACTCCATTGAAGCATTCTCCTCATCACTGTTGTTACACTAGTGAAGCTCCTAAACCATTCACAAACAGTTAATTTTCTTATAGTGATATGTAAAGATCATAAATGTATTATGCTGTAAATGGCAAAACTTTAATAAGAAATATTCGTCTTGTTAATATTTGCAAATATAGTTCAGCATTCTTTACTTCTTTGTTTTGTAATATGTTGACAACATATATTGGTATCCACACTGTTATTCAAAGTTCAAAAATTTATTATTTTCTTAATTTTGTTGTGTTATACAAAAATAATTGTTGTTTTATTCTACACACTTATGAATTGAAATCTTGAATAAAAGTAGAGTGTTTGTTATGCAATATATTTTCTCCACCACTGGGTGAATAAATGCTAATAATTAAAAGATGAATAGCAACCCAGCATTAAGCGAGAAAATATGTTTTTGGAAAAAAGTAGCCAAATTCAACCTTATTTTAACGTTAGAAAATGCAAAAAATGAGAAATGTGCATTTTTAAGAAAGACGTGCCTGTCTTCATGAGAATTCTCATCCAGAAACTTTTGTTAAAGCAAGCTTCCCATTCCCTGTAAAGTTGGAGTATTTTCCAGAAAGTCATGAAAATTGAAAAAAATTATAAATGAGTCTTCACTGATAATAAAATTTTATGTTTTAATAATGTCCAGTAAATAAAAAACAGTTGACCTCTTAAAAAGAAAACAAACCAAGAGTTACAATACCCTGTGTTTTCCTTGCAGAACGTTTTAACCATCTTATACAAAGTTCATAGCGGTCCTTATAAGTGCTTATAAGTCCTTATATTTGAAAATAAAATATAAAGGCCCTTATAGGTGCTTACTTTTTCTTTAAAGCCCTTATTTTTTTGTTTTAGTGCTTATTTTTTGGTTTTACTGCTTTTTTTTAAATGAGCGCGCAATTGTTCCCTGTACCAAAGCCGAAACTAAATAAACAATGTTTCTTCCTAATATGGAATGTCAAATGGTGAATCATACTCCCGGAAATAGCTTTTCCCCCTTTCTCTGCATTAACATAACCTTTGGTATGCGCGGAGAGTACAGAGACAGGTGACTGTCGTTCTGTTGGTCAAAGAATTGTGAAAGCACTAGAAAATTCCGGTACATTCAGCATTCTTTTCCTCCCACCCAAATACTACACACATTTGAATTTCTGTCAAAATCTTAATAATTTGCATTCTCGTTTCGCTTGGTCAGTTCATATTCGTGTTTATTATGATCGTTATGCTTGTATTATGAGCAAATGTAATATATAATTTATAATAATATAGTTGCAGTAACTGAAGTATAGTTAAACTTCCAGAAATGGTAAGTGTATTTTAACAGAGATTAGCTTTCTAAGGAAGAATATTCGGAATGGTTTAAAGGGAAAGTAATCAAATAGTCAAAATAATTTTTTTTTTTTTTTTTTTTCAATACATTATACAGTACGGAGGTTGGGAGGTTCTCCCCTTTCTCCACAAAATTGCGAATATTGAAACCATTACAATTCGCTGAAAAACAAGCAACGATTTTTTTTTAATTAAAAAAATTTTTTTTTATTTTTTTATTTTTTTTGGTTGGGGGGGTCAGTTTCCAATCTGGATTGATAGGACTAAAAGTTCTGCGGTCTACCAACCCAGCGAAGAATGATTCTATTCCGGAAATTTAACGCAATCTGTGAAAATTAGAATGAAAACACCCCAGATTGGTAAGTTTCTTTCTTTTCCTTTATTTAGTTCTTTATTCTCCCAATACTGGCAGCTGTTGAATCCGATTGCGTAATATCATGTAGGGAAGAATTACAGCGCACGTATTGCGCAATAACGTTTGCGATATTTTGCAGAGTTAATTAATTTTGATGTTCGGTCCGAGATTTGTTTATGAACACTTAAAAGAGTTTTACTGTGCTTGCTAAGCAGAATATTTTTCTGTTCCGTTGGTTTGTTCTTATATGATGCACATATCGAAATGTCAAAAGCATTTATTTAGCGGTCTATCCCCCCCCCTCCGCTCCTCTTTTCCAAGTTACGCTCGACTGTCCGAATATTCGGCAGTTTTCAAGTGTGCGGGTAGTTAAGCTTTTACTATTAAAGGATGACTGCATGAAGCAAGTTTCTGTCTTCTGATTTCAGAAATGTTCTTCTTTTTTACTTAAATTACTTTGCTTGCAATATCTGTTAAGGAAAAACTGATATACGATGAAAATTTAGAAAATGTTCAGAATTTAGATTTAAATTAGTTAAATAATAATATGAGTGGAAAAATAAATTGTATTTATTATTAAATTCCAAGCAAATAGAAAAAATATGCCTTATAATTATTTATTTCTTCTATTTTGAACTGAAATTTCAGCTTTAAATTTTGTAATATAGTTTAGTTCTGCATATTTTTTTTTTTTCTCTCATTGTAAACTAGTTCTGTAATTGAACTGTTATTTAAAAAAAAAAAAAAGTATTATTTTCCACTTTGAAGTAATGCTGATCTTTCTTAATAAATACTGCATTTCTCATATTTAAATTACAAGTTTAATTTTTGAAGTTATGTAGTTGTGTATAATAATTAGGCAGGTGCTTATTTTTTTAACTGAAATGTGGCTAATGAACCCTGTTATACATGAAACAGGATTGTCAATTCATACTTTTTTCTGTTATGTTATGTTAGTGTTAGTCAATTTTTGTTTACTATTCATTTTAGTAATACAATTGTTGTATTACTTCTTTTTTATATGTATGAAATTGTCCTTCAAAACTGAATAAAATACCTAAAAAAAAAGTTCATTATACTGTGCAGTTGTACAATATACTCTGTAGCTGTATTAATTATGCAGCCATTTAGCCTATTTTCACTCCAATATACATTGCTCCAAAAAAAAAAGGGGGGGATAGTTCTATATCTCTCATTCTAATGGGCCGATTGACGAAATTCAAATTGCATTTTCCATGTCTCGAAAGCATGTCTTAATATATATTAAATTATATAGCTCTATTCTAACTTAGGTTTTTGACACAAATCAGACTTTTTCTGAAAACATGCCCTTTTTTTCCATTTCGATTCTAGAACTTATGCGTATTAAATTTCATTTTAGTGAGAAATTTATGTAGAATTTAAAATTTTTTGGGTGATTTTTTTAAGTTATGCCAAGATAATCACTTGGCAAACTTTTAAAATTATAGCAACCCATTTTCCTTTCCTTTTTCTTCATTGCCCACAAGCAGGAAAAGAGTCATCGTTCATACTTTCAAATAATTTTAACAAAGTGCGTAAACCGCATTTTCATTATTATCGCTTATAATAAATACACAAAATTTCAAAACACGCCAAAATGTAAATTCATGTAAATCGTAGGAAATTTCAAATAAAAAACTGTAATTATTTGTAGGTATGCAAAGACATCTACTTTAAGATGGTGGCAAAAATTTTATAGATTTATAATTCAAAATGTTTTTAGAAAAATGTTTTTAAATTATTTAACCACTTAACAGTTTCATTTAATTTTCAGAATCGCTCAAAAAATGTCAATTTTTTCATTACGGTTAATTATGTATTTTTTATTTATAAAACAATAATAACAAGTAAAATTGTTGTAAATATAAAAAGTAATTAATTAGAGCATTTTAAATATTCACTGGTATTTCTCAAATTATTGCTTTTTTTTTTCGAGCACTAATGATGTGCAAAAAAGCGAACTTTACAGGTATATGATGCAAAAGCAAAGTTTAAAGTTATAAAAACATTAGCAGAAATAGCAAAAGCTCCCTAGGTATATATTGTGCACATTAAGACAAAATGTTTACTTCTTAAGACCCAAAATAAGGCTCCCAAAAAAACTATTGTCCGCCAATAACACCATAGCATCTCTGCTTGAAGCAAAATCCGAATCTAAATATATATTGAGCTTCAGTTCCTTGCATACCAGCTTAAGTTTCTGATATCTGGTATTTGAAACGTATCCTAAAAGTTTAAGTAATCCTTCCCAGTGAAACTTACCAGGATTGCTTTGAAACTGAAAAAATGTATTAACAGCATAGGCTATATCCGGACGAGTACGATTACAAAGGAACGAGAGGCATCCTAAAACATTTCTATAAGGATAATTTATCATCTTGGTCGTTTCTTTCTTGTGTACCGGGACTTTGAGACTTTGAGTATTTCACACCTTTTAACTATTGGAAGGAAAGTAATTTGTATTAAAGACTTGAATCGATCAACTATGTCTTCTATATATAATTGCTGATGAATTAAAACACTATTGTTCTCATATTCAAATTCCACACCCAAAAGCTTTCTTGTTTTACCCAAAATTTTCAAATCAAAATGTGAATTCAGGACTTTTAATATCTTTTTTAGCCTGAACTTCACTTTTCCCAAAC